AGCAAAGGAAAAAAGCCAAGTAACATATAAAGGCAAAACTATCAGAATCACACCCAACTTCTCAATGGAAACTCTGAAAGCCAGAAGGTTCTGGATAGAACACTAAGGGAGCATGGTTGCCAATCCAGACTACTGTACCCAGCAAAACTTTCAATCACTATAGATGGAGAAAACAAGATATTCCATGACAAAACCAGATGTAAACAATACATATCCACAAATCCAGCACTACAGAAAGTTCTGGAAGGAAAACTCCAATGCAACGACGTAAATACCCTCACAAAACAATAGGCAATAGATAATCCAGTTTTACCAAATACGAAAAGAAACAGGAGGATTAAATACACACACAATGACACCACCAACAATAAACCCAAAACAAACAAGAACCAACAATCAATGGACATTAACATCCCTCAATGTCAATGGTCTTAACCTGCCCATAAAAAGATGCAGGATAAAAGAATGGATACAAAGACAGAATCCATCCTTCTGCTGTTTACAAGAAACACACCTCAACTTCAAAGACAGGCGTTACCTCAGAGTAAAGGGTTGGGAAAAGATTTTCCGATCAAATGGGCCCAAGAAACAAGCTGGTATAGCAATCCTAATATATAACAAATTAGACTTCAAACTAAGATCAATCAAAAGAGATGAAGAAGGGCATTTCATACTCATCACAGGAAAAGTCCATCAAGATGAAGTCTCAATCCTGAACATCTATGCCCCAGATACGAAGGCAGCCACATTTGTAAAAGAAACATTACTAAAGCTCAAACCACACATGAAATCACACACACTTATAGTAGGAGACTTCAATACCCCCCCACTTTCACTACTAGACAGGACCATCAGATAGAAACTTAAAGAAACAAAGGATCTGACAGAAGTTATGACCCAACTGGGTTTAACAGATATCTATAGAACATTCCATCCAAACACAAAAGAATATACCTTCTTCTCAGTGCCACATGGAACTTTCTCTAAAAGTGACCACATAGTTGGAAACAAAGCAAACCTCCACAAATCCAAAAGAATTGAAATACCCCCTGTATCTTATCAGATCACCATGCTTTAAAGTTAGAATTCAACAGGAATACAAATTGCAGAAAACCTACATACTAGTGGAAATTGAATACCACGCAATTTCACCATTCCTGGGTTGAAAAAGAAATAAAAAAAAATTGAAGATTTCCCAGAATTTAATGAGAATGTAGATGCAACATACCCAAACCTATGGGACACTCTGAAAGCAGTGCTAAGAGGAAAGTTCATAGCACTAAGTGCCCACATGAAGAAACTGGAGAAAAGTCACACTAGAGAACTGACAGGACAACTGAAAGCTTTACAGCAAAAAGAAGCAAACTCACCACAGAGGAGTAGACACCAGGAAATAATAAAACTGAGGGCTGGCATCAATAAAGTAGAAATTAGCAAAACAATACAAAGAATCAATGAAACAAATAGTTGGTTCTTTGAGAAGATCAACAATATAGGCAAAACTCTATCCAAACTAACTAAAAGGCGGAGAGAGAGCATTCTAATTAACAAAATCAGAAATGAAAGGGGGAATATAACAACAGACACTGAGGAAATCCAGAGAATCTTCAGGTCATACTTTGAAAACCTGTACTCCACAAACTTTGAAAATCTAGAGGAAATGGACAGTTTTCTGGATAGATATCATTTACCAAAATTAAACCAAGAACAGATAAGCAGTTGAAATCCACCTACAACCCCTAATGAAATAGAAGCAGTCATCAAATGACTCCCAACCAAAAAAAAAAAGCCCAGGGCCAGATGGCTTCACTGCAGAATTCTATCAGAAATTCAAACAAGAGCTAACATCAGCACTCCTCAAACTGTTCCACGCAATAGAAGCAGAAGGGGCATTGCCAAACACTTTTTATGAGGCTACAATAACATTGATACCCAAGCCACACAAATATACAACTAAAAAAGAGAACTACAGACCAATATCCCTCATGACCATCGATGCAAAAATACTCAATAAAATATTGAGGAATCAAATCCAAGAACACATCAGAAAAATCATCCACCATGATCAAGTAGGCTTCATCCCAGGGATGCAAGGATGGTTCACCATACAAAAATCCATCAATATTATCCACCATGTAAACAAACTGAAAAAGAAAAACCACATGATCATCCCACTAGATGCTGAAAAAGCCTTTGAAAATATTCAACACCCCTTCATGATAAAGATCTTGGAGGGAACAGGAATAAAAGGAGCATATCTAAACATGACAAAAGCAATATACACCAAACCAACAGCCAACATAACAGCCATCATCAACCTAAATTGAGAGAAACTCAAAACTATTCCCCTAAAAGCAGAAAAAAGACAAGTCTGTCCACTTCTCCATATCTCTTCAATATTGTCCTTCAAGTTCTAGCTATATCAATAAGACAACAACAGGAGATCAAGGGGATACAAATTTGAAATAAAGATGTCAAACTTTCACTATTTGCAGATGATATGATACTCTACCTAAGTGACCTGAAAATCTCTACCAGGGAATTCCTACAGCTGATAAACAACTTCAGCAAAGTGGCAGGATACAAGATTAACTCAAAAACCTCCGTAGCCCTGCCATATATGGATGATAAATGTGCTGAGAAAGAAATCAGAGAAACATCACCCTTTACCGTTGCCACAAACAACATAAAATAGGTACAGTAAGAACTTTGAGTCTTAAAAGAAAGATCTGGGCCCACACCTGGGCCATGTGGGGGTTCAAGGGCCACAATGCCATTAGGTTCATGGCAATGACCTGCATTGCCACCTGGGGCCATGGTGTCATCGGGACCTGGGCTGTTGCCAGGGGCTATATCTGGGTGCACGGCCCTTCTGCATCTTTGGTCTATGTTGATGTGCTTGGCTCCTGATACAACCAAAAGCAGTGAGGATGAGGCTGCACAAAGTTGCCCCTGCCCCTCACCAACTGCACCACTCTGGAGAGTGGGCCTTGTGCCTCCCCAGAGCTGTCTCTGATTGCAGGGTTTCGGGTGAGCAGGCCCTGAGTATGCAGAGTGGGAGAGCTAGCTCCACAGTGTCACTCAGTGGCACAGGCGAGGGAGAGATGCCTCCCTTACTCCTCGCCCCTCCCTAATAGCTACCTACAGTAGGCTGAAAAAGCTGGTCCGGAGTCATGACAGTGGAAGCTTCAACGCTCTGGAGAGTGGGCCCACACCTAGCCAGGGCAGCATAGTCGAGCTGACCCCACTACTTGTGGTCGCTGAAGTCATGAGAGTGGGAGAATTGGCACTGTCCCCCACCAACAAGCCGAACTTGGGAGAACAGAATCTGGGCAGCACAATAGGGCTAACCCTGATGATGGAGTGCAGGTGAGCAGACTTGGGGTCATGAGAGCAGAAGGACTGATCCCACCCCCTCATCATCCATGTGGTAGCATGGGTGAGGAAAACCATCCTCCCTCCCCTCACCACTTGCTGCCTGTGGCAGGTGAAAGAGCTGGTTCCAGGACCACACGAGTGGGATAACTGGCCCTGCCCATCATCAGGGTCAGCACTTGGGAGAATAGCATGGCATCTCACCAGGGCAGCACACCAGAGCTGACCCTGTTGGTGGGGCTCAGATGAGCCAGGACTGTAGGCATGAGAGCAGGAGGGCTGTCCCCACACCCTCCCTGGTATGGCATGGGATGGCAAGAGTAAAGGGAACATGTCCTTCCCCTGGCCCCTTGCCACCTGTGACAGGCAGAAGAGCCAACCTCAGGAGCAGGAAAACAGAAGAGCTGGTCCTGCTCCTCCTCACCAAGTGCAACAATATGGAGAAGACACCCTGCACCTCGCCTGGGCAAAACAGTAGAGCTGACCCTAATACTGTGAGGTGGTGAGGACAGAAGTGTCCTTCTCCTTGTTGTTTGTGACATTGGTTGAGCTAGCCAGAGCAGTGCTGGAGAGCTCACCTGGGTTATGATGATGAGAGAAATCTGGCAGGCTCACCAAACCAGCTACCATACAGGCCCAGAACAACAACTACCACCCCAAAACCCACCTCACCTATGAATTGCTGGGGCATGTGAAGGAGACATACAGATCCAAAGCTACATGATCTCCAGGACACAAGGTAACAATAGGGTACCCAAGAAGAGTCCACTGAGGGTCCAGTATTGAGGGTGTAGCAGAAGCCAGAGGCCTCTAACCAGACCAGTGAATGACCCTGAAATAAATACTAACAAATAAAGATATATGGACTAAAGTGTATACTGTGTGACTCACTGGCCCACACTGCAGCTTCCATGCAGAGATTTATTTTTCTTTGGTTTGGGGTGTTTGGTTTTACTTTTAAATTTTGTTTTGTGGGGAGGTTGCAAGGGTAGAGAAGAAGGGAGGGGACAGGGAGATGAGTAGGATTGGGTTGCATGATGTGAAATCCACAAAGAATC